CTAGGTCTAAGTGTCTCATACAGTGCTTTGCCCACCACAGGAATTTAATAATTATTTATCACATTAAACTAACTCAATGATCACTAAAGTTTTCAGAGCTATAACTAGGAATTTTTGCACCAAAACCAAGCACCATACACTGTGTCCAGGGTCAGTGGTATAAAAGGAACTCCCTGTTTGAGATGTATGTATTGGGGGAAGGGAGCCCCAAATCATGGAGGAGAACATGGACCTTTGAACACCAACCTAAGGTTGCTGCTGGGGAGGATCCAGAAGGCAGGAAAGTAGAGTACAATGAATTTACTATTTTAACCAATTATTCTTGCTAACCAGGTACTTGCCCTGTCCTTTCTACATTGCTAAAATTGATGTCTGTACCCTATAAATGTGATACCCTCTGAATTTTGTGCATTGGGATTAAGCCCCAGTTTTCTCACCCTACTGGCAGCTAGACCTAATTGTTTGTTTTTACTTATCTATTAGAAAGATGAAAAGAGAACATTAATCTCCTTACTCCCAAGGGAATGAAAATTTGTATCTCTAGGATAATGAATATCTGGATGGCAAATGGAAATTTCTGTTGGTCTTCTGAGACAGAATAGAATAGTGGATGGTGTGCTGGATCTGCTGACCCCAGGGAAGTTCCTTAACCCTTCAGTATCTCAGTTTGCCCATCTTTAAAATTAGGGAGGTGGCCTTAATGGCTTCTAGGCTTCCTTCAAGCTCTCAATTTGTGATCCCTCAAATCAAAGGAGTTGGTGTGATTCCAGTCCTGACAATTATCCTGGCTGGTCTCTCCGTATCTCAGTTTCCTCATCTGCGAATGGAAATATCATTAGCCTCCCTCTCTCATAGAATATGCTTCATAAATTTAATGCTCTCCAAAATGGTAAACTAAATATGAGCTTATTGCCTGGCTGTTGGGGAGCACAGAGACCCCAGCTGCAGATATGTGTCTTTTTCTCGATTTATCTGAACATTTGCAGTCATGTAGACTTAGCTGCTATTTCAGCTTTCCACATGTTCTCTAAGGAGGTGACTCAGACCGACAGGATGGATGTCTGTGACCAGAATAACCAGTTTGTGGCAAACGCAGCTCATTTCATTGTTCCACCCTTTGGACAGAGAGTTGATTAAAATTGCCACATGATGGACCCAATCCATGTGTGGTAATTGACTGTGAATGCAATCCAGAAAACCTAAAGAAGCCAGGCCACAGGGAGGTGGAGACTTGGCAACAGGCCAGTTCACAGGGCAGGCAAATCAGGCCCCCCAAACTGGCTGATCCTTGAAGCACCTATTTCATTAGTTTTCATTCATCAAATCATACCAGATAATTGTCAGATAGCCACTTGACTTTGGGCTGGGTAAACTCCACGGACAACAGGGGAGAAGAGCCTCTTCTTGGGTATTGCTGAACCCAAGGCAAGGGGCCGATCTGCATCTGTGTTATCCTGACAGGTAATGCTTGTCTTGGTGATGCAGAGGTCGGTCCAAAGTCTTAATAGCTCTCACTATCAAGGCTTGTCTGATGTGCACGTAGTAAGGCTCTTTCAAGTCAGACATCTACAGTTTAGAATGTCTGCCTCAGGGCCCCAGCCCTTGGGAAGACAGCTCCCCTACCATATGGACTCATTGAGGGTTTGGTTTGGTTTTTTACAAGTAACTGAAACTAAACACAGCATTTTCTTCCTGCTATTGCTGGTAGATGCGCTTGGTGTTGCTTTGATTCGGTGTAGTGGTGAAAGATCAATACAATCCCCACAAATATTTTCAAAGTAAGAACTAGGGATTTGACTGCATCCCAGCATTTATAAAGGACCTTTTCCTGAGAGCTACATAAAGAGCTCAAAGTATTTCTGTATACCATTGGGCCAAATTGCCCCTTCAAAGACACAAGTAACATGTTTCCAGGCATCCTTCTTCCCTCTCCTCCCCATCCATTTAGGCGGCCCAGTGAATAGATCACTGGTTCTGGAGTCAGAAAAATGTGAGTTCAAATCCAGCCTGAGACACTTTCCAGATGTGTAACCCTGGAGAAGTCATTTAACCTTTGTTTCAGTAAAATGGGGATGATAATAGCACCTACCTCACTGTGAAGATCAAATGAGATAATATTTGTAAAACATTTAGCACAACGCCTGGCACAGAATAACAGGCACTATTTAGATGCTTATTCCCTTCCTGTCTTCAATTCAGCACACATTTATTAAGCACCTTCTGTGTGCTGAGAACTATAATAGGTACTGGAGATGCAAAGACCAAAAAAAGGTCCCTGACCTCAAGAAGCTTATATTCTGCAGGGGCAAAGGGATGCAACTGGTACTCAGCTCCTTGAAGGCAGAAGTCATTTTTCACTTGTCTTTATATTCTCATAGCCTTACAAATAAGAGCTACCTAATAAATGCCTACATCAGCTAATAAATAATTTGAGGAGAGAGAGAATACTAGCAGCTGAAAGAATCAGGAGTGACTTCCTCTATAAGACGGCACTTGAGTTAAGGATTCTGTGAGAGAGAGTCAGAGACAGAGACAGAGACAGGAAGAAAGAAAGACAGAGGGAGAAAGAGACAGAGACAAAGAAAGAGAGACAGAGAAAGAGAGAGAGACAGAGAGACAGACAGACAGACAGAGAATGAGAGCAGGTAGAATCTGAGCCTTCTTCCATGAGCCTTCTCAACATCTCTAGAAGGAAGGTGAGGGGTAGATTATCATTAGTCTCCTTTATAGCAATAAAGGTAACATTCACCCCATGGCATCTGCCTCCTTTCTCTACAATTATATTCAATACATCCCAGCTACCAACAGGTAACATTTTCAACAAGCAGACAGGGTAGGGAAATGCTCTGCTGGAGTGAATGCCCGTCAGTAAATTTCTGGACCTTGGTTTCTCCAGCTTGAACTAAATGATCTCCAAGGCTTCTTCAAGCCATAGAATTGATGAGCCCCTCTCCTCCAGATGCCTCCTGACTCTGCTGCTCCACTCTTATCAGGCCCTTTCCCCCATCTGAGGAGAAGAGGGGCTAGTACATACCTCTGGCACATCTTCTGTGTCAACATCCATTTCAGATCCTACCATAGGTTTCCTTGTCCTACTTCTTACTCTCTACCACTACCAAGTCACTGGAGTTCCTGGGAGCGGTGATCTCCAGAGCTCCAAGGACAACATCTAACCCTCTTAGATCAGCAGCTGAGCTACAAACATCATAGTCTGAGAAGTTTCATCCTGAGAAAATGATGGTCCAAGTAAGGGGACCACAGCAGGCAGACACAATAGGTACTGTAGCTACATCAAATTACAACAGGTTTCTCCTTCCAGCCACCTCCTCACTCACTGTTTCTCTGGCTTATTCTTTTCTAAAAAGAAATCCGAAAAGTTTCTTAGGGAACATAGCAGTACCTACAGATAGATATGTAATCCCATTGTGCAGTCACACAGGCCTCTTCTCCAACCACAGACGGTCATTTGCCCGGCTTGGAGCCTTCCTCCATTGCCCTAGTTTGAAACGGCTGGGGGGTGGGGGCAGATTTCTAGCCCGAGCATCTTACACTGTCCTGAATAAGTCAGACCCACAAGTGTTAACCCCTTCATTCCCAAAACAGGCTAATCCCCCTTCCCCAAGTTGTTAGCCTTCATTGTGTCTAGAGGAGTCAGTTTACCCACAAGGGCTTTGGGAGGCTAACCCCAGCCTGAGAGGTGGGAGAGATCAGAAATGGGATGAATCTCCTCCCCTACAAGCTTTCCGTTTTAGGGCTACCACTGCAATTTTTCAAATTCAAAACTGTCTAGCATAGAGTAGCAGTCCAGGGTCCCTAACCTGGAAACGCAGAACTGACCCTGGGCAAGCAGGGAATAACAAGTTGGCTTCTGATGCCTTGCCGCTGGGAACTGATTCTCTGATTCTCTTCAAGGAAGCAAATCTGGGCAGGCAGGCTGCGTAGGAGGCAGGAGGAACAACAGGTCCTGGGGGGCTTCTCAGAAAGCCCTCAAGTTTAGGCAGACCATTCCGCATATCACAGTTCAGCTTAGCCAAGCTGGCAGGAGGCACTGCAGCACTGCGGTCTGGGGGAGGCCGTGGGGGAGGGGGAAAGGGGGGAGGAATACGAAGGGGGAAGGTGTGGACGCACCTACGCTAAGTCCTTGGCTAGCCAGCCCCGGAGTCCACACTGGGTTTCCATTTTATCCTTCCTGGTTAGAAAAAGCGTTTCCCCCGTAACTTTCCCTAACTGCGGGTCTGTCTGGCCAGAGGGCAGGAGTCGGGGTAAAAGCACGGCAAAATCACAGGCGGCCCCTTTGCCTTGAAGGGGAGCCCAGGGCCGATCAAATAACAACACCCCCTCTCACAGTAGCAGAAATGCAGGCCAGCCCCCCTCCAGGGCCGGGGTGGGGGGTGGAAGGGAACCGGGGCAAACTGACAGGAGCTTCCAGAAAGTTGGTCCGCGTGAATGACAGCCACACACCCCCCCACACCCTCCCCGCGTTGGAGCCCGAGACCTCCCTCCCAACTCTTTCTGCAGATAGTATTCCTCCTCACCTCACCCTACCCCGGGATGTCCAAGCTAGACTCAGGTCCTCTACAGTCAAGATTCTGGAACCTGCTTCCTTTTGCCCCTTGCCCCCCAATCCCCATGCGCCCCTAGGGCTGAACAGAAGCTGCTGTGTCCATCAGACGGTGCTGGTCCCTCGAGCCCGATTCTCGGGAAAACAAGACTAGCGCCAGTCCGTTGTCCTCCTCCCAGCAGGAGGCAGTTCATACAGGGGATCAAGGTTGGGGGGGTGGGCTGAGAATTAGAGCTCTCCAAGAACGAAGACCCCGAGATGCAGCGCCGGACGTGCGTCCCCCACCCCGGTCTCTGTCGCCGCTGCCTTGGGCTCAGTCCTTGAAGCTCGCGCCCTGACCCCGGCCCCAGGGTCCCCTAGCCCTCCCAGGACCCCAGGCTCGAGTTCCACTCCCCGCCTCAGCCCCTCCCACGCGCACCCCAAGCCGGCCGCGTCCTACCTTCATCCTGCATCCGCTGCAGGCACAAGGCAAGGTTCTTCCTCCAGCCTGGCATCCCGGCGCAGGAGCAGCGATGGGGCTGCTGCGCAGGACGGAGCCCCCCCCACGCGGCCGGACAGCGCTGGGGATGCGGTGCGGGCAACCCGCCACCTACCAGGCTGGACATGGGTGGGCACCGGGCTCCTCCATGAGGGCCGGGGCCGGGGGCCAAAAAAGGGCTACGGGAGAGAGAGGGGCGAGGGCGTCAGTAGGGTGAGAAGAGCGAGAGAGGAGGGCACCCGAGGTTGGGCAGGGCACGGCAGGGCAGGGCACGGCGGGTCTGAAAAGAAAGGAGGGTGGCGGAGGAGAGGGCGCCAGCCCCCGAGTCCGGCCGCCTTCGCCTCTGACGTCGGAGCTGCTGGCTGGGGCTGCACCGGACTTGGGGGCTCCAAACCGAGTGTCTCTCCCCGGCCTGGAGTGAGCCACAGAAGCTGCGGTGCCCGCGTGGGGTGGGGACCGTACTAAGTAGCAAGAGAGCCGAGGGGGGGCGCCAGGGATGGGGAGCTCGCTCTCCCCCTCCTGCCTCACAAGGGAGCCCCGGGGGCAGGGATGCAGCGCCCAGCTTGCGCAGCGGCTCTCCGCGAGGGCGGGGGAGCGCAAAGCCCCAAACCCCGCGGCCCCTGCCTGAACAGTGGGGGCGATTAAGGGCCCGACTAGGGAGATCGCGAGAGTAGTACAGTCCTCCTATGGGGGGGAAAGTCTCTTTTTCTCCTCTTTCTCTGGCTGTCTGTCGCTCTGTCTGCCTTTCTGTGTTTCTGTCTCCGTCTCACTCCCTCGTTTGGTCCCTCCTCCCTCTTCGCTTCCTCCCCTCCTTCTTCTCGTCTCTCTTTTTCGTCCCTCCCTCTCTTTCATCCCTTTCGCTCTATCTTTCCTCCCTCTCATTCTCTTTCTTTCTCTTTCCTTCTCCTCTCATTCTCCCCCCTCTCTCTCCTTTTCTCCTCTTGCATCTCAACAATTAAGAACTTTGAGGGAGGGCACTTTCCCTAGGATCGGGGTAATAGGAAGTTACCCAGGTCCGGCTAAGATTTCTTAAATCCCCATCCACCCAGGCTGGAAGCAGCTCTATGGCAGGACCTAGCCAGGTGCCTCTGAATTGGATTGGAAAGGTCCTCTGAGATGAGGGCCCAAGCAAAGACACTATTGTCCTCACTCCGACTGCTGGACTGATGGGGCAGAAACAGAAACATCTGCAGCCAGTTCCCTATCACGCAGTGAAATGCAAATGGATGGCAATCATCCAGATAATTCTGTCCTTTGCCTAGATAATTATGCCCATTTTCAGACCAAAAGGCACAGCTTCTGACCCTTTGGATTCCTGGCATTCCCAAAACAAGTCTAACTGACCCGGATTCAGCCAAGTTTAGTTACCAGGTCTTCCCCTCCCCCCACTCCTTTCTGTGTCCCCCTCTAACCTCTCTGTACCCCTCTCCTCTGACCAGCTATCCCGTGTCCTCATAGTGCCCTCTGGCTGCCCATCACCCATCCTTGTAGCAGCATACCTAGGCCTGCCTTCTTTTGCAGTGCCTCCAGCCACCAAATTATCTCTATCAAAACATCCTGACTGATCTCAGGTATTAAGAAGAAAGTGATCTGAATAAAACTGTCTTTAATTGGGTGGGGGGAGGTGGAGAGAGGGCATTGGGAGAAAACATTAGATTAGGAAACAGAAGAGTTACATTCTTAGTCCAACTTGGCCATTAAGTAGCTGGGTAATTTAATCTCATTTCCCCCTTCCATTTCTGATCTGTAAAATGAGAATTCATTCATTCAACAAGTGCCTACTAAGTGCAAGGCACTGTGTCTGGTGCTGAGAATACAGAAAAAAAAGAGAAAGAAGTTTACATTGGTGGTGGAGCAAAGGAGAGAAAAAGGAGGAGATGGAGGAGGAGATGGAGGAGAAGGAGGAGGAGAAGAAGAAGAGAAATAATTTAGTAAACTAGAAGGATGGTGGAGAAGGGACAGGTTGGGGGGGAGATAATTAGCCTATTTTGGGCATCTCTGATAAATCTGTGGGTCATACAAACAGAATATCCAACAGACACTTGGTGATGGGGGTGGGGGAGGGGAGTAAGTTCGGAAAAAGATCAGAGTCATTTGCAGAGAGATGAGAGCTAATGAAATCAATGAAAGGTGGTAGGGAGATAGAAAAGAAGAGACCCCAGAACAGAGTCTTGGAGGACACCTACAGCTAAGGGCAAGCTATGGATAATCATTCATCAAAGGAAACTGAGAAGTGATCAGACAGGTAGAAGGACAAACAGAAGAAAATGAGTCCAGAAAACCTGATCAATAAATATTTATTAAGCACCTGCTACATGCCAGGCACTGTGCTAAATGCTGGGGATAGAAAAAGAGAAAAAAGTCCCTCGTGGAGCTTAAAATCTAATGGGGCAGATGATATAAACAAATATAAACAAAGCAAGTCATGTACAGGATAAATAGGAAATAATTAAAAGAGGGAAGGCATTGAGAATATCCAGAAAGAGAAGGTTGCTAACTCTCAAAAGCTGGAGGGAAGTCAAGGATTGTGAGACCTAACAAAAGACCCATCAACTTTAGACAGTAAAGAATCACAGGTAACCTTGGAGAGTGTAGTTTCCATTAAGTGTAGGAAGTCAGATTTCAAGAATCCGAGAAAGGAATGTGAGTTAAGAAAATAGAGACAATGGCAAAAAATCACTAAACCATGCTTCACCTTTTGATTCAGCAATGCCACTAGTAGGCCTAAACCAAAGAAATTAAAAGGACCCACATACCATATACAAAATATCTGCAGCAGGTTTTTTTGTAGTGGCAAAAAACTAGAAACTTAAAGGGGTACTCATTAATTGGGGAATGGCTGAACAAATTATGGTATATGAATGTAATAGAATACTACTGTGCCATAAAGAATCATGAAAGGGTTGGTTTCAGTGAAACTCGGGAAGGTTTGTAAGAACTGATGCAAAGTAAACTGAGCAGAACCAGAAAAATTTATACCATAATAACACTTTATTATACCATAATAACACGGTCTTTAGACAGACGATTTTGGAAGGCTTAAGAGCTCTGAGTAATGCAATTACCAACCATGATTCCAGTGGTCTGATGGAACATGCTAATGGAAAGGTGGTAGACTTTTATTTTTGGACAGGTCAATTTGGGGATTTGTTTTGCTCAGCTCTCTATATTTGTTACAAGGATCTAGGTTTTTTTTTATTGGAGGTGAAAGAAAGAAAATTATTGCTTGGTATTTGAAAAAAAGCAAAAAAAAGTATTTTAAAAAGAAGAAAGTATAGACAAGTAATTTTTCAAGTAATTTAGCTGTAAAAGGAAAACAACACAGAGGACAATTGCTAGATTTTCATGCTGGAGGGAGAGAGTGGAGGGGGCCCAGGGTCAATTGGAATTTTTTAGGGATAGAGAGAGCTGAGCATGTTTATTTTTTTAAGTTATTCAATGAAATGTTTATTAAATATCATCTACATGCTAAGGCTTATACTTTTTGGGGCATGTTTACAACTAGTGGGCTATGAATCAGAAAACAAGAAAAGATAGAAGATTAGAGGGAGGGGGATGACAGGAGGAGGTGGGATCAAAGGCAAAGGTGGGTTGGTCTCAACTGATGCCATCAAGGCATGAATAATTGGAGCAAATAAAGAAAGATCAGGAGATGATGAAGAAAAGTTCTGAGGTATAGAAGAAGGGAGAGGAGGGAACTCTCAGTGAATGAACTCTTCAAAGTAAAAGAAGGAAGATAATACCTTCCCTGTCTGTCTTATAGAGATATTCTGCGAATTAAATAGAATATGCATTCATTCAACAACTATGAATTACCTACTATGTACAAATGTGGTTTGAAGGTTACAAAGTGCTATACAAATATAGAGTATTGTTCATATTTTATTAATTTAGCATCATTGCTCTAGAGCTCCCAGGCTGTCCAATTCAATTCACTTTATGAGCAGGAAAATTGAGGCCCAGGGAGGTTTGGACTTACACAGGATTACACCACTCATATAAGGAGTAACAAAGAGAGGGCAGAGCCAAAATGGAGGAGGGAAAGCAGTGACTTGCTTGAGCTCTCCCCCCAAACCCCTCCAAATACCTTTAAAATGGCTCTAAACAAATTCGAAAGCAGCAGAACCCACAAAATGACAGAGTGAAACAAATTTCCAGCCAAAGACAGCCTGGATGGTTGATGGGAAAGGTATATCACACCAGGCAGGGAGAGGAGTGCAGTTCGGCATGGATGCGCAGGCTGCAATAAACCTGGAGCAAGCCTCAGAGGACTGAATCGCGGGCAGCTATGGCAGTTTCCAGACTTCTCAATCCAGGAATGCCAAAGACAACTTAGAAGGTCAGTGGGAAAAGTCTGTGACTGTGGTGAGAGAGGAGCTAGGCCTCAGCTGCAAGTCTCGAGTGCGGCCCAGGGCCGTGGCTGTTTCCTGAGTTTCTGGTCCACAGACTGAAGGGGAATCAAGGGGCTGATCAGAGGGGGATTGCAGGGTTCTCTTTGCCAGTGCTGAGGCAGGAATCTCTTGCTTTGCCTGTCTTGGATCTGGGTCACATTTCTGAGGGGCGGTCCTGGGGCGAGGAGTGCTGGTCTGGTGGAGCTTGTTGTGGTGGTGGAGAGAAAACACCTTGCCCCTTATCATAGCACCTTGGAAAAACTGAAAATTTTCAGATCCCTAGAAGTATCTCTGAAAACAGCTGTACAAACCCCCACAGCTTGGGACAATACATTCTCCACACCGGAAGCAGACTTTTACCTTAACAAAGAGTTTAAAACTCAAGTAATTGGCCAGGATCACAAGTAAGCAGCACAAAAAGAGTCAGACTATATTATCTTACTTTGGTGACAAAGAAGATCGAAACATACAACCAGAAGAAGACAACAAAGCCAAAGCTCCTACATCCAAAGCCTCCAAGAAGAATATGAATCAGTCCCAGACCTTGGAAGAGCTCAAAAGGGATTTTGAGAAGCAAGTAAGAGAAGTAGAGGAAAAACTGAGAGTGATGCAAGAAAATTATGAAAAACAAGTCAACAGCTTGCTAAAGGAGACCTAAAAAAATACTGAAGAAAATAACAACTTAAAAAATAGTCTAACCCAAATGGCAAAAGAGGTCCAAAAAGCCAATGAGGAA